AGAGAGCAGGCAAGCGGAAACTTGTGCAACAAACATGCTGCTCACTCTCCGAATGGGGGGACAAATTTCAAATGCCCCCGCTCACCTTTCCGATCTCTGTAGCGCGCTCCACGCGCCGTTCCGAAAAGCCACTGTCAACAACAGCGGAAGCTGTCCGAAAAGCTTCTATGGTGGCCAACCACGACATGGCGGCGAGGCCCACAAAAAGGGGCCGCGCAGCTTGGGCCTGCCATGCATCACAATATGAACAGGTTTGCACGGACATAATCGCAAATAGGCTCCTGATGCCAGCGCCCTTTTGAGAGACAACTCCACTGTGGCTGGATCCTGAGGGGCCGCGGACTCGTGGAAATCGAACCCACCATACTATCTCTTAGAACTGTCCCAAGACTAAGCGGCACCGCATTCGACCAGCAACATAACCTCCTAGACGCGCCACGGCAGTGCCCACGACCTGCCCCCCAGGATACCCACTATATACGACCGTGTCGGTGCGAGCCACCGTGCAAAGTACGCTAAGTTGATCCTGCCTGGGTCAGCATTGTGCGATCGGGAAGTGCGCCTGCCAGGTGTGCCGCGTGGCCATGTGCGCCACGCGCGCCAGGCTCGCAACCCGCGCCTCGTTTGCCCAACGAATCAGGTCAGCCACGCGCGCCAGAACCGAAAAATGCGCCAAGTGCGCCTGGGGGCGCCCAGTGTGCCAGGCCACCACGCGCGCCAGGTGCACCACGCCTGCCGCGTGCACCAAGTGTGCCAGGTGGTCCAGGTGCGCCTCGCGGGCCAATTGCGCCAAATGCCCAGTGCGCTGAGCGCGTCGCGTGCGCCAGGAAGACCACGTGCGCCAAGTGTGCCAAACAGGCCAAAAACGCAACGGGCACTTGTTGAGCTCCGTGGGCCAACACATAAACGAAACCGAGGAGGAAGAGGAAGATAATTTCACATACTGGGTTTTCGTCTTGTCCCCACGGCTGCGAGCCGGACCACGGAATTTCGAGTCCGATGGGGGCGTGGCTGAGAGATCCGCCGACAAGCATTGCACAGCATAATTTGGAGTCCGACCGGAACGCGGCCGAGAGATCCATCGTCAAGCCTTTCGGCAGGAGCCCTGGAGCCCGACGGGGAAGCGGATGAGAGTCTCGCCACGCAAGAGAAGGTTGTCTCGAACTGCGGCCGTTGGAAAAGAAATCGCAGGGCCAAAGCGCGTGAAATGGTGGGTGCGCAACCTCCATGGGAAATGAGGACGTCGATCTCTGGGGCCGCTGAGGGGAGGGTGGCAAGGACGGGGGGAGGGGGGGGGGAGTGCGCGAGGATGGAAGCAGAACATGAGGAGGCGTTACAAAGAAGAGGAAAAACAAACGAGAGAGAGGGAATGGGGTGGCGGAAGAACGGGAAGAGAAAGGGCGACGCATGAAACGCAAATCTCTCATGCACGCTCCTGCCATATTCGAAACTGTACGAATCAGAGCCCGCTGGTGGATGTCTCTCAACCGCGCCCCCGTTGGACTCGAAATTCTGGGGCGCAACGCTTGCCGGCAGATCTCTCACTCACGCCCCCGTCGGACTCGAAATCTTGCGACCCGGTGTGCCGCGACGACACGTAGTAATTATCTTCTTGATGTGTCTATATTGCCGTCGCTTTGCGAGCACGCCGTCCGCCCCACGAACCAATCGCGGATGGGGTCGAGAACTCCGGGCCGTCACGACTTGCCCCTCTAGCTCCCGTGGCTGTTTCCGGCGCTCCTGCGAAAGCCCTTGGCCCCCAGAGGGCCTGTGTCGCGAGGTGCTTCAAGGTTCAAAGAAAACTGGCGGGATCAGTGATGAGCGGCAAAGGTGCGAATATGCAATTTCCCCACGGACCCGCGCCCCGTTGTCCCCGCGAGCAGCTCGAGGCCAGTTGCAAGATGCAACGGGAGGAGTGGAAAAAGAGGACGGAGGAGAATGGCGAAGTACATAATGATAGATGATATTTTTCACTAGAAGACAGCCGCACGCGAAGCGGCCATGATGTCAAAAGGAATGAAAAACCAACGCGTGGAGACCAGAGCCAGCACAACACGCGAGGCCCAGCGTGGAATGTAAGCGTCGCGGTACTCGCATGCATCGCCATCTGTGCGATGGTGGCAATGTCAAGCGACAACTACGCCCCTCGCGTGCTGTTCAACGCAGGTAACGCCAGCGCCCCAAACGCAAAGCGAAGGTGGCGCGGCAGATCTCTGCCGCGGCGCCAACGGGGCACGCGACGCCGAAGTGGCGCAAGCGCGCGCTGGGCAAAAGCGGAGCCACTACGCGCAATGCGCCACGCGACCCCGCGCATTCGCAACAAGAACGCATGCAATGAATTGCCCGTTCTGCTCAAACTCGCCACGGAAGGGCGGCATTTGCGATGCAAAAACGGCCCGCTACGATGATGCGCGCGACCTCGGTTGTCTGGCAAAATCCATACGCGCGACGCGCGCGCGCGCGCGCCTCCGCGCACGTCGCCGCTTTCAAGGCAAGCAAAAATACAGCCCACACGTTCAACAAAATTCAACGCGCTTGCCATCGGGCACGCACTGCCCCCGCCTCGCGCAACCGCAAGGGCCGCGAACCATTCGAACGACGCGCGCGGCCACAGGCTCGCGCGCGCACGCGATTCAGCAACCCCCGTCGACAAAGAGGAGAACAAACACAAATACAAAATGCGACAAAACGACAATGAACAGCAACGATCCACGCTCGCGCCCGGCGCGCGCCGCAAAAACGAACCAACCAAAAAAAAAAAAACACTGAAAAGAGCATGAAAAAACACCATTAGTGGATCCTAGCCTCGGGGAGAGCTGAGCTCAACGCGGGCCTCCCAGAGTCTGGGACCTGGAGAGGAATCCGGGACCCAGGCCCCTCCCCGGGCCCGACCCTGCCAGGCCGTGGCGACGAGACGCTTCCAGAAGGCTCAGAGAGAACGGAAGACCCCATGGGGGCACCAAAAAAGGCACCGATGCCGCTACCCTCCCCTCGCGTTCCCCCATCTGGGCCACCCTCGTCGCCACCGCTGGATTCGCCTCGAAATCCTGGTCAGGACGCGCCCTGGTCAGAACGCACCTCAGGACGGAAGACTCCATGGGGACACCAAAAGGCACCGATACCGCTCCTCCCCGGACCTCTCCTGGGGTGCGCTCTGACCAGGATCTCGAGGCGAATCCACCGGTGACGACGAGGGCCTCCAAGGAGGCCCCCAAAAAACTAGCCTGGCGAAAGACCCAACCGTATGCAGTTGTGAATGCCGTCGTTGTATGCACCGCATTCGGAGGAGCTCCCTATGAGGCCACGAAGCGTCTGGTGTGTGTGTGTGCCAAAAGTTGTCCGATGGGCGCATGCGAAACCAGCCACTGGGGACGTCGGTGGGATTCCCTATGGGGCCACTAAGCGCGTGAGAGATGTGCCGAAATGGGTGTTGTGGGCGCATGCGAATGCAGCCGTTGGGGCCGTCGGTGGAGCTCCCTATGGGGCCGCGAAACGTGTGATGGGTGAGCCGAAGTGGGTGCGGTGGGCGCATGCGAACGCAGCCAACGGCGCCTTCGGTGGAGCTCCCTGTGGGGCCACGAAACGCGTGAGAGGTGTGCCGGGATGTGCGTGTGTGACGCATGCGGGCGGTGACACCAGTGCCTTTGTTGGAGCTCCCTAGAAGGGCACGAAACGTGTGAGGGGTGTGACGAAATGGGTATGGGTGACGCGTGCGAGCGGTGGCACTGGCGCCTTCGGTGGAGCCCCCTTATGGGGCCACGAAACGCGTGAAGGGTGTGCCAGAAAGGGTGTGAGTGACGCATGCGGGCGGTAGCAATGTGTTTTTTCGGTGGAGCTCCCTTATGGGGCCACGAAACGTGTGAGGGGTGTGCCGAAATGGGTGTGGGTGACGCATGCGGGCGGTGGCACTCGGGCCTTCAATGGAGCCCCCTATAGGCCACGAAACGTGTGAGGGGTGTGCCGAAATGGGTGTGGGTGACGCATGTGGGCGGTGGCACTGTGGTTTTTCGGTGGAGCTCCCTATGGGGCCACGAAGCGTGCGAGGCGTGTGCCGAAGTGGGTGTGGGTGACGCATGCGGGCGCTGGCACTGTAATTCTTCTATGGAGCCCCCTATGGGGCCACGAAACGTGTAAGAGGTGTGCCGAAATGGGTGTTGGTGACACATGCGGGCGGTGGCACTGTAATTTTTCGATGGAACTCCCTATGGGGCCACGAAACGTGTGAGGGGTGTGCCGAAATGGGTGTGGGTGACGCATGCGGGCGGTGGCACTGGGGCCTTCGGTGGAGCTCCCTATGGGGCCACGAAGCGTGTGAGGGGTGTGCCGAAGTGGGTGTGGGTGACGCATGCGGGCGGCGGCACTCGGGCCTTCAATGGAGCCCCCTATAGGCCACGAAACGTGTGAGGGGTGTGCCGAAATGGGTGTGGGTGACGCATGTGGGCGGTGGCACTGTGGTTTTTCGGTGGAGCTCCCTATGGGGCCACGAAGCGTGCGAGGCGTGTGCCGAAGTGGGTGTGGGTGACGCATGCGGGCGCTGGCACTGTAATTCTTCTATGGAGCCCCCTATGGGGCCACGAAACGTGTAAGAGGTGTGCCGAAATGGGTGTTGGTGACACATGCGGGCGGTGGCACTGTAATTTTTCGATGGAACTCCCTATGGGGCCACGAAACGTGTGAGGGGTGTGCCGAAATGGGTGTGGGTGACGCATGCGGGCGGTGGCACTGGGGCCTTCGGTGGAGCTCCCTTTGGGGCCACGAAGCGTGTGAGGGGTGTGCCGAAGTGGGTGTGGGTGACGCATGCGGGCGGTGGAGGGGGCGGGGTGAGGAGGAGTGAGTGACGCGGGGCGCTGTCTCTTCATAACGAGGACCCAACACCACAGGATGGTTGGGAACAAAGGCAAACGTGGGAACGCTAGCAATATGGGTACCTGTTCCTCCCCTGACTCCAGGGAGGGCCGACGGGCCCTCCCCTGAGAGGCGGCGGCGCGGACCGGCGGCGCCTCTACAACTTCGCCTCGCTGGGCGCCACGGTCAGGACCCGCCGGCCCCAGCCTCGGAGAGCCCGAGGAGGGGCCACCCATCACGCGGGGATCTACGGGCCCAGGCCGCCCGAGCCCGGGCCTGTCGGGCCTGCAGGATCCTGCAGGATCCTGGGCGCCAAGCCCAGGGCCCTGCAGCCCTGGCTCTGAACGACGATCCTGCGAGATCCGGCGCTCTGGCCGACCCCGTTCGCATTGGCCTCCGTCTCGAGGCTCCCGACTCGCCAGGGGGTGCCCCTCGCTGGGTCCCTCCTCCTCGCCGTCCTCCTCCCTCATTCCCCTCCCTCCTCCTCCACATTCCCCCCCTCGTTTCTTTGTGCGCAACTCCTCCCCGTCGCACCCCTGGACGTGTCGATTCGCCTGCGGGGCGTTTCGCCTGGGACCACCAGTCATGAGCCTGAGGCTTGAACTCTGCCACAGCTTCACAGATGAAGGGGGGTCGTTCTCGAAACGTAGGAGGAGGAGGAGGAGGAGGAGGAGGAGAAGGAGGAGGAGGAGGAGGAGGAGGAGGAGGAGGAGGAGGAGGAGGGCAGCTTCTCCGATGTTGGGGGGGCTAGTTTTCACGTGCGGCTCTGGCCTTCGCGCCGCGCGCCGTGGGGCTCAAATGCTGCAACACTTTCACGGACGGAGGGAGGGTCGTTTCCCCAAAAAATGTGGCTCTCGTCTCGGCGCACCGCGAGCTCTGTGTGTAAAAGGTAGCGACGGCCTCCTGGATGGAGGGCGGCTCCTTCCCAGAATGTGCGTGTCGCCCTTGCGCCGCGCACCATGTTCTTAAACTTGTGTGACAGGTTCATTCGCTGCGAAACTTCGCAGATCTTTCAAGGCTGAAACAAGGGGGGTGTTCAAACTTGGGCTCTCGCTTTGGCGCCGCGCACAGATGTTCTAAGCATTGGAACGAGTCACTGGCTTCGCAAATGGATGGGCCGTTGTTTTTCAAAGTAGGGTTTTCGCCCTGGCGCCGGGAACGTTCGCCTCAAACTTCTGCAACAGTTTCGAATATTGAGCACTGGCCGTTTTCAACATGGAACTCTCGCCTGCGCACCGCGCGCGTTCACTCAGCGTTTGGCATGATGGAAGACTACTCTTTCTTGAGCTGGAGTTCTCGCCTGAGACGTCGTTAATGTTATACAGGCCGACTCGTAACCTCAACGCACATCGCGCTCCGCGGACCATTCGCAGCGCTTTCCGAATGGAGCTGCCATTTGGAACTTCCTCGAAGTGCATGGCCAACAATGCATCATTTGTGCAACAGTCACACGGACGGAGGGCGGTCCTCGTTGGAGAAAAAGATATCGCTGGACCTCTCTGCGATGGACTGTCTGATCCTTGCCGCTCGCGTCCTTGACGACGCGCCAATAGGATGCAAGGCAACTCCTGTTCAACGCGGGGCCCTGACCAAAATGGCAGGCCCAACTGTTCTGGTCTTTTATAGGGGGCGCCTCTTGTAGAACGCTGGGGGTTCCTCCTCCTCCTCCTCCTCCTCCTCCTCCTCCTCCTCCTCTCGTGAATGAGGCATTCGTGGCAAGTCATGCTCGAACTTCGGTCTGACGCTCGCCGTTTGCGGGGGGCGGCGCGGGAGGAGCATGCGAACGCCGCGCCGTGGCACGCACCACACCTAGCAAGCTTGCCCGGGAGCGCCGAGGCGAGCCCGTCGCCGATGGCTCGCTGCCCCGACGGCATCGCGCGGTGCGCAGGGTGCCGGGCCCCCATCCCGCGGCCAACCGTGCCGCACCGACGCTTTGCGGGGCGCGGCGCGCGCGCGAGGCCCGGGGGGCGCGGGACGCGTCGTCCGCTGGGCGTGGTGCGCAGGGTACCCGGCCCCAATCCGCGGCCAACCGTGCCGCAACGACGCTCTGCGGGGCGCGGCGCGCGCGTGAGGCCCGGGGGGGCGCGGGACGCCCGTCCTCCGGGCCATCGGCCCGCAGAACGGTGCGCGCTCTCTCGGCCCTCGGCTCGGCGCCCTCCTGCAGGCCATGCGGGCCCCTTGAGAGCCACGGTTGCGCGCGAGGAGGGCATCGGGAAGAGACAACTGCATAAGCTTATGTCGGGCACGTCCTCCTACAGGCGAGATTGGCAGAACAAATCAAACCTAGTTTAAAAAGAAAAAGCTGTCAAAAAGCAATAAAACAAGACTAGGAAAATCATCCCCATACTATGTTTCACTATGTTTGGATCATCCTCCTGTGGAGGGACAGGCCAAAACATAAGCTTTTGACGCTCCGAGCGGATCTCTTGTATCCGCGCGGAGGCGTAGCCAGGGCGGAGGCGCGCGGATCTCTTGGATCCGCGCTGGGGCTGGCCCCCTGGCGGCGCCTCCGCGCGGATCCAAGAGTTCCACGCGGAGCGCCAAACGCTCAGGTTTACAGTCGGGACGTTGACCTAAGGAACCCTAAATAAGGAACGAGGCCCCCTTTTCCCATCAGTTAAAGTTCGATTTCCCATCGAAAACCTAAGGAAAACCTAGGGCAAGCTGTGAAACAAGCAAGGAACACGGATCCCCTCCCCAATGAAAAGGGTTCCCTCTTCAGCGCCCCGACTGTATGGCGGTTTACCTTCCTTCGAGCAGCGTCGGGCGAGAAGAGGCCCGCCTCCGCGGCCCCGCGGCCCGCGCTCTGAAAAGGAAGCCGGGCTCTCCACGGCAGTGCGAGAAGCGCGTCGTGCCCGCCGGCTGGGCCTCCCGCGGGGAGGCATCGCGCTCTCTCGGCCCTCGGCTCGGCTCCCTCCGGCAGGCCCTGCAGCAGGCGGCGACATCCTGGCCATCGCTCGGACGTCCATTCCCTGTGCTTTTGTCGGTTTCGTGCGTGTTTTCTTCGCCCAATGATCAAGGATGCTCCTCGATGGTCCTCGCCGAAGGAAAAATGCACACGTCCGAGCGATGCCAAGCATCCCAGCCCTGCCCCCGCCAACCGCCGCCTCTCTCCCGAACCGCTGCGAGGCGAAGGCAGGGTTCGGATGTCGCCGCGCGCTCGACAACTTCCGGGCCCGATGCCCCCGCCGCCCGTCCCGAGTCTCTGATCGGCGAGGGCGGGGGGCTCGGAGTTCCTCTCGAGGGCCGCGGTGGTCCGCGAGGAGGGCCTCGTCGGGCGAGAGGCCCGCCTCCGCCGGCCCAGCGCCGGGCGCTCTTCACGGAAGCTGAGCTCGTGACAACAGCGCGGCCACGAGCGGCTGCTGGCGAATTCCTCCCCCTCGGGGGGGCGGGGGGGGGCACTAGAGGCAGGTCAGGAGGCAACTCCTGGGAGGACTTTCGTGAGAGCGATTGAGGGCTACTTACCACGCCAGATTCAGTCGAATGATCACGCCGCGTTGTCGATGCATCGCCGATGCATCAGCGACGCCAGCGATGCGTCAACGGCGTCGGCGTAGGAAAAATCTGGCTACGTACACATCAGCCGCATCGCCGATGCATCGGCAATGCGGCGCGATCCTCCAATGCAACCCCATCCGCGCTGTGCTGCGTAGCGCATGGGGCGTAGAGCACAGGATGGCGTGGGTATGCCCGCGAAGCCTGCCTCGCCCTTCTGGCCCCTTTCTGGACCCTCGGGCCCAAATCTGGGGTTGGAGGCTGCACCAGTATCCCGGGGCACGCTCGTACTGGCCTGTGAGATCTTGTCCGCCTGAAGTGTCCGTCCCGCTCCTAGAGAGGATGGGGGTCGTGTAGTAACAGAAAACGGTACAAACATGCACTTTCGAAGGTCCGCACAACAGGGGGCGGCGCCGGAGGCGCCACCAAGAGGGGCCCGGGCGCGGATCCGAGAAATCCGCGCGGAACGCCAAAAGTCTATATTAATGCAGTTTTTTCTCCTCCGACTCGAATAGAAGAGATGGTCGAAACAACGATAAGGGAGGGGGGTACTGGCGTGGGTACTGGCGCAAGGGGGGATGCATCGACCTGGAATCGGCGATACATCGCCGACAGATCTGCGATACATCGCCGGCAGGTCGGGGCTCAGGCTCCTATGGGCGATCCATGGGCGATTGGGGGTCGATGCATCCCCCCATGTGCCTGTCCCCCCCTTTCGCTGCCCCTGGAGGGGGGGGGGAGCAGAGGGCCCTGGCAGGCGCTCGACCCCCGTCGATGGCGTCGCCCCCGCAGTCGAGAGCCCGCGCCGGGCTCTGTCCCTGCCGCGAGCGGACCCTGCCGCGCCCTCAGCAGCGGCAGGCAGTCGGGACTGTGGGGGGGCGGGGCCCAGACCCCCTCGCGCTGTGAAAACATCGTGCCGGGAGGTGTTTCGCTACTTTCGACCTCCGGGGCCCCTTCCCGGGCCTCGGGGCCGTCAAGAAACTACTCGGGATGAAAAACCGGTCCCGGGGAAGGGGTCTGGACCTCTTCACGACGTCGCGGGTCTCTGGGGGGGGGGGTGCGGGACGGGGCGGGACGGGCGCCGACACCGCTGCGCGCACGTGCGGGGAGCGCCCACTGCGAGGAGCAGCGGCGGGGCCGTGTGGCCCCTCGCAAGAGCAGCCTCGGCGGCGCCTCGGCGTCGAGGGCCAGGCGGGCGCCTCTGCGCGCGGCACGACTCGTGAGCTCTTGATGCCAGGGCAGAGCATCGTTGTCCACTTCTAGGCGGACGGCTCGGGGTGTGGGGGGGGGAGGAGCGGAGGCTGGCCGCTCTCGCCTATACTCTCTGGGTACCTCCTCAGTTGTGGGCCACCAGACTCCAGGGCCCCCCCAGACTACAAGGCAATTTTGAATACATAGGATTTAAAGAATAGAGAGTTTTCAATACATGGTTAATTTAGGAATGAAATTATGCATGAACTCATCGTTGTTTTTAATGCTGAAGCCCTGCATTTTCAACACATGATCCGCACGCGGAGCATGTATTAAAAACGGCTCTGCAGTTGCAAGGGCCACTCCCCCGAAATGCAAGGACCCGCCCCCCCGGACTGCAAGGCCCCCCCCCCCAGGACTACCGGGACCCCCCCCCAGAACTACAAGGGCCCATCCCCGGACTGCAAGGCCCCCCCCCCCCCCCCCGGACTACCGGGCCCCCCCCCCCCGAACTACAGGGG